TTTTAAGAAAATAGCTGAACTTATTAAACAAGAAGATAGATATAATTATATATATATATATAATATTAAAATATACTGTATTTATAATACAATATTAAATAATTTATTTGTTATTATTTATATAGTTATAAGAAAAGTTATAACTTAAAAAAGGTTTCTAGAAGTCATTCATTCTGGTATTATTGTTTCCAATATCAAGCACTTAAAAAAAAACCTTGAAAATATAAAGACTTAGAAAAACAAAAAGATCATAATAATATAGAATAATTTGCATATAAAGGCATACTTTTTATTTCTATAAATATGAATAGCAATTTTACAAAAATTTGACTTAAATATAATTTTTTGCATAAATGATCTAAATGATTTGAAGTTGATAATTTAGTTTAGAAAGAATTAAAAAATATATATATTTAATGCCAAGTAACATTTATAAGCAGTTAGAACTAAATTATTCTAATCTTACACAAAAGCAAATGCATGTATAATGGAATAAGTTTATTAAGAAAAAATATATTCATGATAATAATTAGTTAAATTTTATGAAAATTCTTCTTAAAGAATATAAATATTCAATTATGTTAGAAAATATTACAGAAGATATTAAATATCTTGAATTTGTAACTTTATTTTTTAATCTATTATTAAAAAACAAAGAAATTATAATTGATGCAATATGTAAATATAATTTAAAACTAATAAATTAATAATTAATAATACAATATTACTTTTATTAATTTAATTATTTTTAAATTAAAGATTAAATAAATGTATTAAATTTTGAGTTTTATTTAATAATTGAACAATTTAATAAAGCTGAATTTGCAAAGACTTATCTATTTATTGATAGTAAAAAGAAAAACAATAGAGTATATACTGATATTTTAAAATATTTTTTCTAACAACTTACAACACTTGAAATAGATAATATTATTTTTTTTTTAACAAATAAAGACTTTAGTTAAATATTTGTTACTTAATTAACTTGGCCAAATGCAAAAGTATAAATTTGTTTATAGCATTTAAAAAAAGCTATCAAAAAATAACTTTCTGACAATATACTGTCAAAAACAATCTCCTATAGTTCAAACAATGCCCACAATGTGTTTAATTTTATTGATAGAAAATTCTATCCTCATTTATTAGATTTATCAAAAAGAACAAAAAAAAATATAATTTTATTTTTTGTTCAAAAAATTTATGACTAGTTATTATTGAGACAATAAATAAATATTTTTATTTATATTTACTTATTTCAGACATTAAAAAAAATTTTTAATCAGATTAAAAATTTGGAAATCTTTAGTTTATAAAATGTATCAGTTATATGTTAATAATAATTTAAAACACTTGTAGGCCTACTTGTAAACTTACTAATATTAAAAAAATATGTAAGTTCTTTGGGTATATTCATCAATTTTAACTGAAATTTGTATATTATGTACAATAATGCTTGTTAAGTTATATTGAAAAATAATTAAATATAATTATTTATCCAAATATTATCATTTACATATTGATCTCATAATTTATATTATTGTCTCTCAACTTATTCCACAATGTCAAGTACAATATTAAAAATATTTTAATAAAAAAAAAAGTGCTTTATAGTAAAAAAGTTTTAGATCTAAATAATAAGCTCTTTGTAAAAAAAAACTAATAATATTTATTTTATAAATACTAAATGATAGATATGCAATTGTCAATTTTTTTTATTAAGTAGATTTTTTATTTGCAAATATCTTATACAAAAATATAAATTTAATACAAATTCAGAATTTTTTCATCAAATTTAAAGACAAAAAAAATACCTATTTATTTTTTTAAAAAGTAATATATATTTAATTATTAAATAAAATAGATATGATTTTAATTTTAATACAAAAGTAATTTATATTACAGTATTGCAACTACAATTTTTTTAAGAAATTACAAATTTAATATTTAGTATTAAATAAGATAAAGAAAATTAATAAAATGTAATGAATATTGAAATATTGAAGGATTGAAAAATTATGAAAATAATAATAAAAATTTAGATGATTTATATTAAAACTATGAGTTATGTTTTACTAAAATACTTAAAATTGTACAAAAACAAAAGGTAACACAAAATTATAGATAGAAAAAATCTGTAAAAAGCAGTTTTGCAGGATTACAAAAAATAGTAACAGATGTTAAAACATATAAGAGAAAAACAACAAATCCTCAAATATGAAAAAATCATAATCATCATATGATGTTTTTACAATAAAATTTTTTCTTTTACTTTTGCTAAGGCTGTAGTTATCAGTGACTATTGTCTTTATTGTATTTTAATTATAATTATATAACTTGTACAAGGTAAGTATACAACTAGTCACATATACAACTTTTGGTTGTCTAATTTAAGTAGTTTACTCATACAGCAGGTTCTATACTAGCTGCCATACCTGCAATCTACTAGAAGATTATCTATTTAAACACTCTGATCCTTATACTTATACTGAAAATAGCACACAAGTTCTAGTACATCTAAGTGCCATCTAATCTAACTGTGATCTCCCTGTCTGTACATCCATCAAGCTGTTATATATTTCAGAGTATATCATCTGACTTGTAGGGCTCCAGAGGCCTTTCTGCTAACTAACTACCTATATTTAGTATCTTGTTAACAGAGCTTGCTCTTGCAGAGTTTACCCAGACCCCAGTACTAACTTCATAACATATCTCTAGTATTTTAATATATTTCTGTTTCCAACCTTAGACTCCCAATCCAGATAGCCTGATAGGACTATAACCTGTTTCTGATACCCCAGAGTCTGCTCCTTAAGGTCCTTTTCCTTCAGTTTGAGACTTCTGATAGCCTGGTTGGTAGTACCTCTCATCTGAAGTTCTTGCTTGCCTGATTTTTTCTACATTGGTATCTGTTTTTTAGGTCTAGTCTTTACAGTAATACTGTCAAAGATCTGTGCTACCTCTCTACTCAGATCTTCCCAAGTGAGCTCTGGTTTTCCTAGTTTACAAATTTATATAGTCATGAAGACTTATCTTGGGTTTGCATCATCTGATGCCAGTTTGCATTTCTTTGTATAACTCTAATATTGCACAGATGCCCCATGACCTGTCAGTTATTTGATGTAACTATATTATAGATACTAATCCCAACTGATTGACAGATTGCTGTTGTTATAGTACTAGACACAAGGACTTATCTTAAGTTTGCACTGCCTGATGTCAGTTTGCATTTCTCTGTATAACTTCAACATTGCACAGATGCCTGTAGTACCAATATACATAGGTGGTTTTCCAAATTTTCACAATCAGTGGGTTTTAAACTCACTACCTACCACTTGGGGGGTTGACAACTTATCTACTTCACTAAGTCACCACATCCTTTACAATAAAATCTTAAAATATTAAAGTAAATAATATTTTATTTGCAATGTTGATGTTAATAAAATACAGTTAAATTGTATTTTATAATAATAAAGTGAATATGTTATAAGCTTTGCAATTAAGAAAAAATATTTAGTTTCAGTAATAATTATTATATTATCATATACTAGCATGTAACCCATACCTCTGGCATGGGAATTGGTAAAGTTTTTTAAGTAAAAAATTATTTTTTATAATTATAATAATTATTGATATTGAGTTATTATAATATATATTTATAGTGTTATAATTTTGTATTTGTTTTTTTTGTAGTTATAGTATAGAAAGTATATAGTTTATAAAATATTTTATTTAAAGTGTATACATGAATATATAGATATGTATATATATATGTTTTTTAAAAAAATATAAGGGTTAACTAATATATTTAGTTTGATAAGTTATAATAAAAGAAAATAAAGTTGAGATAGAATAATGCTAAGTATATATTATTTTTTAATGTTGGTATTGAATTTTTTAATTTCAGTTGTTGTTAGTGAGTTTAGTATTTGTTGTTTGATTATTTATTAGATCTTTTACATTTTAATGAATGAGTATTATTTTCAGAATGAGTATTATTTTCAGAATGAGTGTTATTTTTAGAATATGTTATTTTTAGAATTTGCATTATTTTCAATTGGATTATTTTGAGTTGGATTATTTTCAGAATCTGTATGATTTTCGAGTAGATTATTTTGAATTGTATTATTTTCAGAGTATGTATCAATTTTGTATAGATTATTTTGAGTTATGTCTTCAGGATTGTTTAAGGTTGGTAGTGAAGAGTGGTTTTGAGATGTTGTTTTTGAGATTTTAGCTATGCTTTGATGGATATTTAAAAAGTTTAGATCACATTGGACTTGAAAATAGTTCAGTATTGTCAGTATTGGGTTCCTTTTTTTTAGTAACAAAATTAGTGTTAATATAATTGATTTCATTGGCATAAACGTAAAATTGGTTATCTATGATTTCCATTTGTCCAATTACGAATATTGTTGATTCTTGTGGACAGATGGTGGTTTTTAAATGTTTGAATCATGGGTTATTATGTAGAAAGGCTACTTTGATTGTATAATTGTAAGGTTGGCCAATATAATTGGATACAAGTATTTCAATAATAGAGTTTTTAGTATTTTCAATTTTAGCTGGAATTTCTTGTGGAATTCCTATTAAAGTGGTTTTCAAGAGACATTTGTTTGAGCTTAGGATTTCTTTGTCAGAAATTGTTAGGTGAGTTGATGTAGAAATTGTCATCTAGGTTTAGATTATTATTAGATCTAATTTTGTATTGTAAATAGAGTTAAGTACAATGCTATAATTTGTCGTAATTATGAGAATTATAGCATTTTTTTTTGTTATAATTTATTATAATTGTAACGAATTATGGCATTGTATTTACATCTTTAATTGTAAATTTTGTAGTGTTGACTATTTGGGATGAGTAATGGTTATATCTTAGGCAGCTAAGTGTAAGCAGAAATGAAGTTTTCATTTATACACAATGTCCAGGATATAACTGATTTATACTCTGCATGACCAGAATATAATATAGATAATAATAGGTTGTTAAATGTGTTTTATAATTAGTCAATGGGTAATAGGTCAACATTGAATTTTTTTTTATAATGTTTAGATACTTTTGGTCTAATTTGTCCTGCATAGGATCCAGGCATAATTTTTCTTCTAACAGAATAATATTCATTTTTTTTGAAGATTGCTTGTGATTCAGGGTCTTGATCATTAGGATTGACAGATAAAAACAAAATCATTTCAATTTCATTGTTTTCATGTCCTGTTGGATATGTTCCAATAGCCCATATTGTAAATACTTTTGCATCATCTTTTTCATTTCGTTTAACATATTTGACTTTGATGATTATATCTGCATAGCAGAGCATAGTATTTTTGTTGAGATTTGAAATTTTTGAATTGTGACAATAGTGTAATTATATCAGAGATTAAATTTAGGTAATTGTATATTTTAGTATATGTCATTTTGTGCATTTGGTTTTGGATTATTGTGTTGATTATTGTAATTATTATAAGAGTATATAAACATGTTAAATTAAGAATAGAAGTATTGATTGCATTTGGTTAGATAGTCTATTTGTTATTCATATTATAAAATGCTACTTTTTATTAATTTATTTTTGTCATAACTAGATACCAAGTATAAAAGATGTTAAAAATATGCTAAAATTGAACTTGTTATGAAGAATATTAGTACATAGCAGGTTTATTGTTTGATGATTATGACTGTATACAAATAAAGTATAATTGAGTATATATTTTTTTTTCTTTAGAAAGATTTAAATAGAAATTTTTCTAAAAAGTTTTTATTAATTAGAATTATTTGCAATTATTTAGGTGTTAGTGTTTTTTAATATTTGATATTTGGAGGTTTAATGATAGAATTGAAAAGCTTTTTTTTTTAATGTAATTTAAATAAAGTTTTGAGTTTTCTTGGTTTGTTCATGGGTACTTAAATCTGCAAGTTTGGAAACTTGTTTTGGGATATACTGTATATTGATATTGCACATGTTTGCATGTGTTTGGTAAAGATTAGTAATGTTGGTAAGTTTATGTGATTTTAAAGAGTAGGGTAAAATTATTACCCAAAAAGTTTTGAATATGTATTATGTAACAAATATATAGAGCATAAAAATTTATATAGCTTAAAAAAATACAAAATAAGTCTATATTGGAGTTAGCTTGGTTTTTAATAGTAGTGCTGGATTCAGATAAGTGTTTTGTTAATCTTTTATTACATGTTTTTTTTTTTAAAGCTTTTTCTAATATTGTATCTTCTTCTTTTTGTAGGTACTGCAGTTGAGTTTTGTAATTGAAATTTGGCTAAATAGAATATGGTACATACAAGAATATTGATATGGTATTACAGATTACGAATTAGTAGAGTTTATGTATAATGACATTGATCATGAATTTAATAACTTACTATATAAAGGATTTGATTTTAATATGATATTTCTTATGTAGTGACTAATACTGTAATAATAATAGGTTAATGAAAATCACAAAGGCAAGAAAATACGATTTGCGAATGAAATGTTGTTACAAAGTTACAAAAAGAAATTATTACTACTTGGTACTTTTACTTATTTTAGGCTTTTCGAAGTTATAATTTCAATAGTTATTTTTCATTTAAAAGTAAAATCATTTACTTAATTATATATAGAAGAAATTTATATAATTTATATAATTTTTTTATTTATACTTAAACCTTTTTATAATTTCTATAGTTACAAAATTAATATAATCGAGTGCATGAAAGTAAAAACCTGGAAACGATCATAGTAAATCATTAAATTGGTTTTCAGATTTTTACTTACATGCACTCAATTACAAATTTGTTTTTATTAATTATCTATAATTATATCTGTATTAGTCAAAAACTGTAACTATAGGAGGGTTTGACTGTAGATATTTTTTTAATACGTATTTCATTTTTGATCTTAAAAACTAATTTTTCTAATTTATTTGATTTAGTTACAAATTTTAAAAGCTGTATTATGCAGATTGTACATCATTACCGAGTGGAGTAAATTTGACGCTTATAATTGTAATGTGTATTGTGTTTACATAATATATTAGTTTTATGTAAGATATTCTATCTAAGGTAATAATTATTTTTTACTTACTACTTTTGGAGTTTTGTCAAGTTATTAACAAAAATTCTTTTTGAATTTTATTAAAGTTGAGGTATCGAATAAGAAGAAGTTGAGTTTTTTACAATATACATAAAGAATAATATGTGTTGTAGATGATTGGTTTTGATTAGTTGGAAGTTTTTATTTTATAACATATATTATATAAATTTTAGTAAGATTTGTAATTCTTTGGTTATTAATTATTTAATAATACTTCAGAATATATAATATTTAGTGTAGTACAATTATTATTATTTGAAGAAAGAAGAATTTTTACAAAATGTGAACAAGTGCAATAGGATAAAGCTACATAAAGTTGATCATGGGAGAAGATGAGAGTCCTGAGGTCTAATCCAACATGTTTTACAGATTGACCTTGTGATTTATTTATAGTGATTGCGAAAGCTAAATTAATAAAAAATTGACATCACTTAAGCTTAAACAGAAGTTCAGAAGTTGAAGTCATAAGAGATATACGAGGAATAAAAGTTAGATTGCCAGCATGGTCTTCAGTCAAAATGTGGGCCTCGATTACATAATCATTAAGTCTTGTTACAATTAATCTAGAACTGTTGCAGAGATCTTGATAAGGTGCTAGATTTCGCAAAAGTATTATAGGACATCCAATTTTAAGTGTGAGTGATGAAGGTGGCATTCCAGCAGGTTTAAGAGAGTTTAGAAATTCACTAGGATAAAGATTGTTAAAGTTGTTATTGTTTTCAAAAACTATTTTGTCTAAGCTCAAGTATATTTTTTGGTTTCTAGGAAAAGAGTTAAGAATAGTAATGTTGATATCATTGACATCAGTATTATGAGAAGAGAGTATTATTCGATCTTTTAGATATTGGTCAGTGCATATATTTTTAATGAAGATATTACAATAGACTGATTTGATAAGCGAGTTTAATTCGGGTTCAATTGTCATATTTTAAGGAATTTTGATGATATTATCTGATTCAAACATGTTTGTACCATTGCCAACCTGCATATGGTATATTTAGTAGAAATAAGCTAAATAAAAATTGTAATAGGAAAATTAGGGTTGAAAAGTTGATTTTTTATCTGTAATAGTCATTGCACAAATTGGTGATTTTCTTCAGATTCAGATTTGAGGTGCATGTTTTTTTTTAAGGTGTGTATTTTTATATGCTCCATAATTGTGATCTTTGAAAAGATGCTGATATGATTTGCTCACAAGAACCTTTGATTATAACAGGTAGTATTTAACAGAAGTTTCCACCAAACAATATAGTAATTCCTCAAAATGGATGTGAATAATCATAGATATCATGTAAAGTGCGATCAACTGATTCAGCACAGTTATAATACTGCATTGAAATTTCATTCCAAATGATAAGTATTGTTTTTTGTAATAAATTAGCGAGATTAGAATTTTTATTAATTGAGCATAAAGATTCATCAGTTATGTTAAGAGAAATTTTAAACATTAAGTGAGCTGTTCGACCACCACTAAGCAGAAGAGAAGCAATGCCAGAAGAAGTGACACAAATTACAATTTTATATATACTTCAAATTTTTATTGCAATAGTATTGTATTAAAAGGTTTTTTCAGTTCTAGTGGGTCCATTTAAAAAAAACAAATTCCATCACATTTAGTTACTGAATTGAGAATATTTTGATATGCAGCATATTGTTCAATATTTATTTGAAGTTCCTGACTGGTCGATATCTTTTTAAGTTCATTATGGTTTCAATTTAAGTGTTCATAGATAAGATGATTTCCTTAGTAGTGATCCCAATTATGTTCTCAACAAGGCATTGAAGGAAACATGTTAAGGGAATAGTTGTAATTATACAGAATTTGATCAAAAAGAAAAAGCTTGAGATCAAATATTTGGAGTTCAGTAAGATTTTGAATATTATACTTATTATGTAGTTGATAGTGAAGATTATCACAAAGGTTATTATGAAAGAGTAGCCATAGATTTTGAGAATTGGTTGGGGTAAACTGTACAAGTATAGTTGCAAAAAGTGATCTTAATTGAGCATCACTATGTATGATTGCTGCTTCTTCTAGGCATCAATTCCATTCATTATTATTTTCTAGTAAATCTAAGGTGATACATGCATCTTTAAATGTAGGATAGGTAATACCATTGATCGTTTTTAAGTGATCGAAAGATTGTGGGCCACGAACTACAGTAAGCAAAAGCCGTAAATAAAATCTTTCTCTAGCAGATAGGTCAGCAAAATAAAGTCGACCAATTGCAAATTCTTGTTTTCGTATTGTCTACTTTTTGTTAGATTTATTCCAAACAAAATTTTGTGGAAATTCTTAATAGATGTATTGACAGGCTATTTCGAGAGTTTCACATGTTTCAAAGAAAGCTATTAGTGTAGTTTTTTGTCGATCAGCACAAGCTAAAATTTCAGCAGCATCGTCATTTAGATCAAAGACAACATTATGCATTTCTGGTAGATGTAGTGCTAATCGTACAACATTGGATACTTCTTCGTGCATATTGAAACTTAAAAGTCTTCACACAGCTTCTGGTGAACTGATATATCTTGCATTAATATACTGTGTGATTTCATCATTGTCTCGACCAAATCGGATTGTAGTTTGATCATGACTCTTATAAATATACTTATGAATATATTTGACAGCATGTATAGATGTACAGATTTCAATATTAATATGACAATTATATTTGTGACTGAGAGCTGGATTATATGGTACTATATCTCGATTGTCAATATTTTTATTACCAATATTGAACATTTGTTTGCTGTCTCTTCTCATATAAATTGGATACCCATCTGTATTTATTGAAGTTACATTACAAAACAGTTTAGGATAGTTTTTTTTGCATTTTCCATTTTGCATGCATGGTGCTTGAGGGTTACGAAAACCACAAGGACCATGGATCATACAATGCAATACAGTGTTAAATAGTAGTAGGTCTATTTCTTTATCAGAGAATTCTGTACTTACTATGTTATCTACATCAGCAGGTTCTTTTATTTTAGAATCTTTATCAAGAAAGATTAGAAAATACATATAAGGAAGACCATGTTTTTGGAATTCAATTGTATAAACATAGGCAACAGCTTTGCTAAGAAAAATATTTTTTTTAATATCATGAAGAAAAGATCATCATTTTAGTTCAAATACACGTGCTACTAGGTCTGGATGATCCAATGATGTTTGACCTGATAACAATTCATTAATAATTTCAGGCTATTTAGGATTTGCAGTCATAGTTCCAAATATATCAGAATGATTATAGAATTAGGTAATGGCCATTGAGTCTTGATAAATTTCAAACATATGATGTGAGCTACCAATGTGTATAGAAGGAAGAATTACCCAATGACTAAGATTATTAAGTGATAGTTCACCATTTGCAATACTTCCTGCAACATCTGCTAAACCTTGATAAAGATCAGCATGTAGTATATCTTAGTTTTGGCATAAAAATCTTAATCTATTTTGTTCTGTAGTAGCCCATGCGTCAACTATAAATTCATGAAATAATTTACCTTCTCGAAGGATTGTTGAAAATTCATTATGACATGCAAAAAGACGAAAAGAAAAAAAATCCTTTTGTGTTAAGCGAAGAATTCTAGTTTGATCATTGATTCAATTGTTTTCAGTATTTCCTAATAATTGGCATAATTCTTCATACCATCTGAGTTCACCACGTGGAAAAAGAAGCACATAATGTAATGATAAGTAGGCTGGGTGACCCTTATGAATATGTTCAAGCTTGTTATTATGCAGATTAATAACTATATCATGCATTGCTTTTGGTATAGATCCATTACTGGGCAAAATAATAGCTATTTTATCTATTGTTGGAAGATTATAGCAGTGTCTATCTATTGCATTATTGTAATGTAGATAAATAGTTAAGTTTGCAGTAGAGGTGTTATTTGCATAAGCTTAAAAAAAAATTTCATGAGCCTGCTGATATAGTGGATAAAATTCATGATAAGTACGTAAGATATTTTGTATTTTCTATATTGTTTGTGTTGATAAATTGGCATTACAGTTTATTTGTATTAGATATGCAAGTGCAGCATCATAGATATAAAGTTGTGCATAAGCAGGTTCATTATTATCAGTAGGGATGAGTAGGCTAGATAAGTGACATAGTTCTCTATTAACACGAAAGCAATATGAACCATGTCCTTGGAGTACAGTTTGATCAATTGTAACATCTAATGATGTAAATGCATGTGCAGCATTGTATTGATGAATGTTTGCACGAAATTCTTTAGCATTTTCATTACTGCTTTCAAAAAGATGTTGAAGAGTAAGCAGAGGATTATTAAGAAGAGGAAGTTTAATTTTTCCTTGCTGGCAACCTAAACCAAATTTAGGGTTTTTTATTGAAGAATGCATCAAATATTCATCTTGCCAATGAAGTGCATTGCAATAAATACATTCTATATTCATATAGCCGAGGTTATGTCAATTTTGAGTTTTTTCATGTCTTCTTCTCAATGACTGTGTAGTAATATTCTGATTTATATTCATAATAGAATAATATAATGATCAGAAAAAGGGCAATAAACGTTTACAGTGAATTTATTTTTTGATTTTGAGTTGCGGATTGCTTTAATATTATTTATTAAGATTGATTTTTTGCAAAAAATTAAAGGAAAAAAAGCGAGTCTTTTATACAATCCTTTTGTTACATATAAATTTTTCTTGATATCATAAGTAATTTACAAGATCAATTTTACTAAATGATTATTTTATATTTACTATAATTTATTTTAATACTAACATTAACAATTCGTCTATAACTCATCTATAATTTATGCCCTTGTTTACATCTAATTTTTCATCGAAAATTGATCTATAGATCTTATTTAAATATTATTACATATTCACACTTTACGTGCTATAGATTTTATACGAGTTGTTGACATGCTGAATATCAAGATGACCATACATAGTAGCATATATGACGTATATGAATACATTGTGTTATAAATATTTGACATGTTTAGGTTTAGATGTTACAGTTTAACGGATATTGTAATTGTCAATTCTGATATTACACAATACTTCTCATTTGTTCGTTTTAGTTTTAGTAGGTAAGAATAATAGTTAATTGATCAATGCTCTTAATTATTTAAGTCTAATTCTTATTTAACTCAAATGAGTTTAAAATTGGTAATTTATAAGTTTAAAACAATTCAAATTTACATATGCTTATTGCTTGTAATGATTTAATAACACGTTATCACTTTGAGGATTTTAAATTTTGCTTTAAAAAATTAAAGTGATTATTCAATGATTTTTATAAAAATATAATACACGATACATTAATATAAATTATTATATGAAGTGTAATCAAGTGACTTAAAGAGAATACAGAAATGATCAACAAGTTCTTTCGCTCTGGTCTTTGATAATCAGTGATTATCATTTCATCAGATCGGTAAGGAATCCGAAGAAAAAATATAAAAAATGCCAAATCTTTAATAAAACAATGCAAAAATTTATATCGGGTCACTAATTTTTGTGTCCAAAAATCATGGTTTTATTACAGTTTATTATTATGTTTATAATTGTATTTATCCACATTTTCATATGATGTTGTTTATATTTCTTCTTTTATCTTTATTTACAGGAAGGTAGATGAAGAAATGGTAGATTAAATAACTTTTATACATAGTTTCGAAAACACCAAATACGTGAGAAATAAATATTATAAATTAAGACTTTGTTTCAAAAACCAAATATGTGCGAAAATAAATATGATAAATTAAGAACTTGTTTCAAAACTGTACGTACGTACAATGTAGTGCAGTGAAATCACGAGGTGCAGTGAAATCACGAGGAGTGTGTTATGTGCAACAATGTCTTGCATTAAGATCATAGCGATTACTTAGCACATTGTTGTAATGAAAAGCTATTTGGCACCGTTATCCCCCAGCCGTGTTTTATTTTGGGGATGTATATTAAATTGCAGTATTATTTTTATCATCCAATCAATATTGAATGTTACACAAGATCTACATGATAACAGAAATCGTCTAGGTGCATGATCTAGCCGATCTCCGAACCCTAAATGATATGTTACACAAATATAAGTTGCGTGACTTTGAAGTTACGGTTTATAAAAAGTCTAGTCATGTGACCTTTGTTTGTGTAACATATTTGTCGGATTAGGGTTAGTAGAGGGTCGGATAGGGTCGGAAACTCGTGAGGGGTGGAAATAGTAACACTCTTGTATAAAACTTATAAGTTCAAAGTTCAAAATATTTGATTGGATAGAATGCCAATCAAAAGGTATCCAAGGTCCAATATATTACTATTTATATTTGACTATATTTTTGAATTACGTTGGATACTGTTTTAAGCTGCACAGAAAATTTATTGTGATATCTAGAAAGAATCATCTTTAATATATTAAATTCATCTGCCATTAATTGTTCTAATTGTATAATAAAATTAAGTTTCAAATTGCTAATTATTTTTAAGTTTATCAACCAATCTTTTTATTGAAGGCTTATATAGCAGAATAATTAAAAAATGCTTTTTCACCACCAAATTTGAAATTCAATAACACCAATCTATTTAATATTATTCATAATACTTAATCATGCTATTGTATTGAAAGAAGGAGCCGCTATTCTCAAGTCGGGCCCAATCGTCCACATGACAGATTGATCATCAACAATCCTGGTATGAACATTAATAAACTTACAACCGTCTTTACCTACCGGAAACGGAAAGATAACCGATGCTGCAAAATAATTAACATTGTTTATCTCTACACTACAAACAACAACCGAAGTTTGCAATGATTCAGTATTTTTTGTAGTAGATTCTTTACAATTTAATGCTGCATCTGAAAATTTTAAGTTATTTAATAAAGAATTCTCTGGGTTAGATTTCTCAAAGAAATCAATATTTGATCCAAAGATGATCATTTCAATGCTTTGCAATTTCTTTGATACATCATCATAACCTGACTGTACTATTCCTTCCAATTTGAGAACAAGCTTTTCTTGAACCAAAATTGATTTATTGATTCCTTTAAAATATGGGACATCAAGCCAATGGATACGTGTTCTTTGCTGCCTGTCAAAAAAATATGGCGGAATGTTCATTGGAATTTTTAACATTGCACGTGCAAAGTCACGAACAACTAATGCTAGATCCGATGAAGAACTTTGAAGCTTATGCTGTTCAATTTCCCCTAATATTTGAATAGATCGGGTATACAATGCTAATCTTTCCTGTTGATCTATCTCACCAGATTTCAATGAGCTGGTAACACCGTTCATATCAATACTCAAATGTCGTATCATTGGAATCAATGGAATCAGGGAAGGATCAATGTGTTCTTTATTTAATTCAACTCCAGTAAGAAGACTTTTTATGGCGTATACCAAGATTAGGCAGTAAATCCTGTATGATTCTAAAATTTCCAAACTTTTCTTATCAACATCAAAAAATGAATGTGCTACGAAATCATGCATATGTGCGGTTCTTAACAGCATTTCTTGAATATCAATCATATCCTTTTTTTGACGTCTAATTCTAGGATTCATATATAGATTCAACTTTTCCAAAAGGGATTTCATAGTCTTAAAAAATTCAACTCGAAGAAGGTAAAACCATTTGGCAAATAATCTTTGATGAGATATGTCCATAAGTGCCATAAATCCATTTAATTCCTCGTCACCCTGTGCATAACGACGGATAGAATCTTCAACCGTATCCAAAATATCGATTTTCCCTGGTTGCAAATCGAACATTTGATCTATGCCCACTTTCATAACTATTCCTTTCTCTGCCGTTGCGATATTAATTAGAGCTCTCAACCAATATCTTGAGGCGTCTACATCAACAGATGTAACAAAGAATTGCATAATATTCGCCATGATAGAAAAACATCCAGATTTTCCAGCATCAACACCAATCAAATAAATGTCCCACTGATTATTATAAACTGTGGTTCCATCAGACTGACCAAAGTTTTTAATTGATGCAATAATCGCTTGTTGAAAACTTTCTGCTTCTGCGCTAGTTTCAGGAGGTGCTTTTAATGCAGCTTTTGTCAAGAGAGTAAACGATCGTGGCGTTTGCAAAAGATCATCTGATTTCAGGACTGCGATTAAATCTTGCATTAACGTTTGAATTATTGATCTCCTAACTTTACCAACCATTAAAATAAATTTAGAAACTTCGACAAGAATGTCGTCATTTTTCGTTACAACATATTCTTGTATTATTCCAATAATAGATCTTGACACATCTAAAGCCATTGTGTCATCTGACAAACACATAGAAAAAAGAAATTTAAGATACTTTTTGATGATTTTCCTGTGGATATCACGATCTGATGTATTTATATCTGCAACTTGCATCAATGTAACAATAGTTGATAGAATTGACGATTGGATTTTTGAAGAAAGTTCTCCAATGTACGTATTCCATTCTGCCCAAATTGTAATATTTGTATGAGATACAATGCGTCGTGTTTCTATGACAAGTTCAGCACAAAATTGAGCAGCAACTATGCTTACTTCACCAATAATATGGTGAATCATGTCCTCACAACTTTGAATATAATGAAGAGCTTCGATGCATAAGTCTTGATCAGATCCTTGTGACAAAAGATCAGCGAGTAACCTTCCACGTTTAATCAAGACTGTCAATATACGTAATGCCTTAACTTTGATAATTTGTTCTGATGCACTAACTACTAAATTCAATAACCTCAAGGCATGCGAAATACTGAAAATTGAATCTTTTTTAGCCAAGTTCAATAAATCAACCAAAGCGCTACTTCTCATACATTCATCTGAACCGTTAATTGCATACTCAGTTAATAGCTCTACTTGATCAGATCTATCAACAAGTGCATGCCAAGATAATAATGTCAACGTTCTCAAGATGGCTGACTGCGTTTTTCCATCAGAACTTTGTTCAAGCATTTGAAGGCATATATTTCTTGATTTATGAGCCAGGCTTATTTCCCAATGCATATGCCGTAATATACGTATTAATTTTATTCTAAAAGTCATTTGTAAGTTATTGGATTGAAATTTGGTTTCTAGTTTGTCACATAAAATGACAGAAAATTTTTCAGATTTAGCGCATAACTTGTCTGCTGCAAATATAGCAGCATTCGCTTCAATCGGAAAAGTAGAATCTAAACGTTGAAGTATTCTGCAGGAAGGAAAAAAAAGGAAAATAGATATATATACATATTATAAATTATCAATTTTATATAATGGTAACATAATAATTACACGACCTGTTTACCCATGTTGAATATCAATTCGATCTGTTAATAAAATGGATAAATAACCAAGAATCCTCAAAGCTATTGCACGAGCCACAGTATCGTTGCTTCGGTTTTCCAAAAGATAAAAAATATTTTTCACTGTATGGTCTAGAGCGGCACTATCAGTTTGCTTAATGTATTTTTCAGTTTCTTTGAATACTTTTAAAAGGCAGTATCGGATTTCATTCTTATCACAAGTTCTGAAGCATTCCGCAAGGAACGACAACGTGTTGCAGATTAAATTTGGATTGGGATATTCGTCAAACTTCCGTGTAACTTCTGAAAACTGAACAAGTTGTTCTTCTACAGTTTTCGCAACACGTAGTTTGTTGAGAATTTCTCTCTTTAGTTTGCCGTAATCTTGGATTATTTTTCTTTTTGGCTTCATTGCGTAAGAAAGCGAGGATGTTCAGGTTACGAATTTCTTCATTTGCGGAGAACATATTAATCACGTGACAAGGTGAATACTCAAAGTGCAGTTACACAAACCGCGGCCGCAGTGTATAATATAAAACTACGAACAATACTAGTCAACGAACGATACTATAACTAGGGATGCTAACGACTTGACTCAAGTCGATAACTTGTAACTTTAAGTCGATAGTCGTTTCAAGTCGACTAATATGCAAGTCAGTCAACTTAAGTCGATAAGTAGTTGATATTTAAGGGATTTATGCAATAGATCGATTTTGTCCAATTAGTTTGCATAGATCCTTAACAAATATGTATAATAATACATTATCTATTTAAAGAATTTATATATTAAAATTTTTTTTATGTATTCGAATGACATAAAGGATCTCTTGTAGTATAGATGACTCCTTTAATAAAAATGTATTTATTAATCAATTGATTATAAAGTAAGGTCACCTATACTGCTAGAGATATATTCTTCATCAAAAAAACTAAATATTTACCAAAAAAGTTCAGCGATATCTAAAAGAATTTAATCGTATGTACGTTTCTTTATAAATGCACTTCTGATAAATGTATCTTTATAAATGCATACACCAAGTGTCCCTTTCTAAATGTATGCTTGTTTCGATTCAAAGTTTATAAAACTCTTATAAATGCATATTTTTGAACTTATGCATATAGTCACGAATAGATACAATCAACTATATATAAGTAAGTATGTTTTTATTTTTTTTTAATACAATGGATGAAAATTTTGAAAATTTTGAGGAATTTGAAAACAATGATAGCTTAGAAAACTATATAGCTGAAATTGAAGAAGTTGAAATAGAAAAAACTTTTAATCTAAATATTAATACTGATGTGCAAATATCCGAAATTGAAGAATCTAATACTGAAAGCTCAGATCATTATACTTTCGATGTCTGGCATTATGTAAATAAAAATGATCCTAAATGTCATTATTGTTTAACATGTAAATTTATATTTTCATCAAAAACTAGTACATCAAGTATACGAGATCATCTTGTTAAGCATAATCTATTAACTCGAAAAAGTCCTGTTCAAATGCACTCTGAAAAAGAACAATTAGAACAATCAATGCTTTTAGTCAAATGGATTATTAAAGCAATGCAACCTTTTTCCATTGTGGATGATATTTCATTTTGTAATTTTTTAAATAAACTTGATTTTTTATTTGTAATTCTAAAATGTCAAGCAATATATAACAAGATACTTAAAATGTTTACAACACAATGATCTAATATTAATTTAATAATTAATAATATTTCAGAAAAAGTTTCAGTTATAACAGATCTTTGGACTAATCTAAAAATGGAATGCTTTATCATACTTACTATTCATTTTGTTAATAGTGATTGGAAATTATGTTATTTTACTTTAGATATTATGAAATTTCAAGGATCTCATACGGGCATAGCAATTAGTAATTATATATTAAAAGTTTTAGAAGAATTTAATTTAAGTTCAAAAATTGTCACAATTACAACTGATAACGGTTCAAATATGGTTTTAGCATGTAACAAAATAAAGCAACAACTTAATCCTAATAACGATCTTAATGGATTTTCTCACTATCATTGTATATGTCATATTATAAATCTTTCTGTTAATAACGGATTAAAAAAAATAGATATTTTAATTAAAAAAGTGTGCCAATTAGTAAAAGTAATATGAAACTCATATTCATATTTAGAAGATTTAGAATGATATCATTTAGTAAATAAAAAAACTTTTCTCCATCCAATTCTTGATATTAAATCACGCTAGAATTCAACTTTTATTATGCTTCAATGAGTTCAAACTCTTAAAGAGTATCTAGATATCATGGCTATGCGTCATTTATCATTAAATGATTTATATTTGTCTTCAAATAAATGGAATCAAATTAATGATCTCATAAATTTATTAGAACAATTTTATATAGCTACAAAAGAATTATCATCTCAAAATTATCCTACTATTGCTTATGCGTGCATAATTTTACTTAGTATTTGTTCAGATTTGAAAAATTATAATAATGAGGATAATTTATTAAAAGAAATTTCTATATTAATTTATAATAAATTACAGGTTTATTGAGGATATCTTGATGAGATTTCATATGTGGCTGCATTTTTAGACCCATGTTATAAGAGATATTGTTTTCCAGAAAAAACAATTGAAGAAATTTTTGATCCAATTCAATGTAGACTTCTTGCAACAAGTTTAAATACAACATCTGCTCCAAAAATGTCAATATTTATAACACGATTAACTCAACATCCAATAAATTATTCTATACAACAAGTAGATAAAGTACAACATTACTGAAATTTACTTCCATATGAAGATAGCATTGAATCTTTAACATGATGGAAAATGCATCAAACTGAGTTCTCATTATTATCTAATCTTGCACGAGATTTTTTATCAATACAAGCAAGCTCAGTTCTTTGTGAACAGTTATTTTTAATAGCTGGAATGGTTATTAGTAAAGCCAGAAATAGATTATCAAGTGAAAGTGCATGGGCATGTCTGTGTTTAAAGAGTTGGATAGATGAAAATATTTTTTCTTAATTTTTTTTTATTATATATAAACAAATTCTAATATAGTAATTAAAATTTTTTCAAATTATAACTTTATTAATTTTTCGATTTTTGAATCACTAAAGTTTGATATAAGTTTTTTTTTTTTAAAGCATTGTAAAGCGAAAATTTATATTAATATATTTTTATGATTTACATAATTATTACTTTTTTACTGTCTTTACTATTACTTCATTTTTTATTTAATGCATTATTACTTAATACTTACTAGTTGTTTTCGCTATACATTACTTTGACCATTTATCTAATTCTGATGTAATCACACATGCTTTAAAGATTTGTGCAGTATAAAAGTAAATATAATAAATTTGCTAATGCTATAGTTTTATCGTTATGTTAAATTCGCCATAACTGTAATTAACAATGATCAAAACCATATATATACTAATGTTATTCTGCATCCCATGTAATCAACTTTTAGTCGACTTGAGTCGACTTAGAGGTAAAAGTTGATGCAAGTCAAGTCAAAGCCAGTTGAGTCGAGTCATTAGCATCCCTACAAGGGTGACGATATTCAAGCTTGTGGATCATTATTAGCATAAGAAATGTAAGTGCCGATAAATATAATTATTTAATGTATCGATTGTAAATCAGTAATTATAAACGAGAAAAAAATGCTTTTCAAATTTAAATAAATTCAATTTTTTCATATAAAATTGCTTATTGTTATAACAAACTACTATGATATCAAGTAAAGCATTGCGGATTCACATAATAATATTTATTAATATGAAAGATATTTGTTTAGTTCTTGAAAACTACTTGATTGAAACTTTCATCTTATAAATAATTGTACTATTTTTTTATACAACATTAAACAAAATGATTATAACCAGTCTTTATTTATTCTTTTATTTAATAATCAGTATATAAATAACTCTAATTGGTTTATGAAAATTACTTTTCAGTACGGAACACAAGTTTCATTTCTATATTATTAGAAAAAAAAATTAGACTGGTTCTAAACAAACAGATCATCAATGCAAACAAGAATCTAGATTTAATGTTTTCTATATGTTAATTTAGTATCCAGGATTCCTAGTTGCATCAAACTACCTTATTGTCTAACAGTACACTCATACAAGACCAATATCATACTAGCTTAATGTTATGTATTTAACTAGTATAATAGTGTTATGATTTGGCTTTCTTAGATACTTATTTGAAACTTACAAAAAAAACTTCTTACAGTTAACTTCAATCCTATAACGTATAAAAACCATTTAAATCTTTTAAATTACAAAAAATAAAAATTTCTACTTGCCTTTCAAGATTATTATCATTAATATTCAAAAAGATTAAGATAGTGTTTTGCAAAATGTGTCAGCTAGAGAAATCAATAAAGTTCTTGCAAAGTAAGTCTGCTAAAATCTTTTCATTTTTCTAATCTAAAATCATTAAAACAAAGGTCGAGAAAAATGCTAAAGCCTTTTCTTTTTTCTAATCCAAAATCATTAAAACAAAAATCAAGAAAAATACATTGTTAATACAATAATCTGTCTAATTTTTAAATAAACCAGATGATATACATTTGTTTTGTACTTGATATGTACTGTACATATTTGTAATACAAATATAGTCAATCTAAGAATGTAAATCAATATAATACGTGTACGCGCTAGTCACATAATGCTCCAACTGGGGTGAGCAAAAATTTTTTGTCAACCATATAAAATTACAGGACAAAACAAACGCGAAAAACATAAGAAATTGTAAAAAAACGTAAATAACATAAAAATTTACTATGTTGACCAACTTCTGATCTCTAAGTAAAAGTTTTCAGAATGAAATTTTACTTATAGAATAAGATTGTTAATGTTAGATATATAGAGAATTTTTGATATACTATGACCCATATCTTTTTGGTCGGCAGCTCGGGATTTCTTGACATAAGAAAATTCCATGCTCTGGGATACCGTGCCCAGGGACAGTGAAAAATATCGATTTATGTTGATTATATGTAAATCGATATTTTTGTGGTGTAAATTGAAATTCATGTAATTGTAATTTTGAACACATGACATTTAGTTTTTTGAGATCAAATTTTTGGCGATTTAGGAGTTACAATTCGGATCGTACGTCCAAATCAAATAATGCAATAATACTGACCGAAACTTTTGTAAATCTGGTACTTTATGTATGACGTATGGAAATTACATGGAATTTGATTTTCTGAAACTTAAATACATTAACCAATTTATTATGATTCGCGAAATTAACGTAATAAATTGAATATTATGAAAAAAAAGCAAGATTCTAAAAGATTCATATGAATATTGTACTTATTTTTCGAGTTTATTTTGAATGAGAATCGTTCTTTAGAACCATTCCGAAGGTTTTATATTTAATTTGTTGTAATAGCTCTAAATAAGTTTTAACTTATGGTTTCAAGAATCTTTTTTTTCTTTTAATTGCAAAAATTATATATTGATAGGAAAATTTAAAATATAACTTTATTCTTCAACATTTTACAAACAACTTGTGAAAGTTTCAAGATAATTCGATGTCTTGATAATCTGACAGTAAAATTTGATTGTTTGTATGACATGAAACTTTGTAATATGAAAAATGTTATAGTTATCAATAGTTCCTAATTTCTTCCCCAATTTTACTATCGGAGTACTGAAAATTTGACTAATCATACAATTACTCAGATAAGTGAATAATTAGTACAGCCGATATCTTACATAGTTTTGATTACTTAGTTTAGTAAATTACCCAACCAACTGGGTTTATTGCGATTTGCAAAATTATGTGAAATTTGAAGATCATTAAAAAAAAACGTATTCACTAATTTTCGATTACTGTTTTTAACATTTTATTTGACTTTTAGACTGCGCAAAACGATGAATATGCGAAGTTTATTTCTATAATTCAAATTTCACGAAAAAATTTCAGATCTTGTGATTTAATAATTACAATATATCGATATCAATCATGATGCTTATTACGGCATTAATAAAATTTTCATAAAAATAGTAAAAACGAAAGTATAATTAATTTTTTGAATATGTGAATAATGCAAAATCACATTATCTGAAATTTTTTTAGGTGGTGATTTAAACCCGGTTCATTTCACCGACTAATTTTTTTTTAAAGCTGTGCTAACATTAACCATTGACCCTAACGAAAATGACCAGAATGACTTTGTCGGTGAAATAAACTTGTCGGCGAATTGACTGTCGGTGAAGTGGTTGTCGGCGAAATGAGCACCACCCAAGTTACATTGTCAGGTAAGTTTTCCCAACCTTGATTCCGAAGTATCCCAACCTTGATCCCCTGTATGAATTTCCCTCTATGAGAACTCTACCAGGGCGGCCTTCAAAAATACGGGTCATGTGGTGGAGCCACCTGTCATATTGAAAATAGGTGGCACCACCACATGATCCATATTTTTGAAGTGAATTTTAAGACAATAGTGATTCTGGCAGACTAGCTGATGACTTAGTCGACTTAGTCGATTTGTTGATTTTAACTAAAAATTTAACTTCGACCCTTTTCGCATTTTAGGATCGTATAAAGATAATCATGTTTGTCATAATAAATATCGACCAAGCCATTCTAAAAAAACGACCGGCTAAGCGATAATCCGCTTTAGCCGTTTTTTTTTTTTTTTTTTTTTACTAACGATCAGATCACTAATTCTTTAACAATCAGAGTTGACAAATGGACCCGATAGAAGATCTCAATGGAGTCAATGGAACACAATGAATAACTATCCATTAACGTTAAGGTTCATTCGGATCTCCATTGGCTTTTTTTTCAATTACAACGGTATTATAGTTAGCGACGATAGTAATAATTGTGGGCTAACACAATCTCTATTATAAATATGGTCTAAATATAAATAAATTTTAGGCCAATACAATTATAATCATATATACATATTTGTTAAGAAACATTTACAAATAACAATTATCAGGAAGAGAGAGATCGAATAAAGTGAAGCTACCGATGACCGGAAAATTTAGATATCAGAAACCTTAAATATGTTCATTTGTCATTACATTACATTCCAAGTATTTTATTTACAAGACCTGTTTTTCTTTTTTTTCTTTTTTTTTAAGGGCAAGTTTAATTTTTTAATCAGATATCTTTAGTCAATTAAAGGGCATAATGCAGCATCATACCGATACATTTATTTTAAGTTAGAAACCTTAGTTAGCATGCACATGTTGCATTATTGATGAAAATTACTTTTTGTTTAAAAAAAATCACGCATTTGATGTGAAATTACATAACGAGATGACGAATTATTCATGTATTCGTTTCTTAAATAATTTTTTTTTGAAAAAAAATTGAATTGTGTGAAAGCTTTGGATAAAAAATAATGGTCCCGCTAAAATATTTATCATTCTAATACGTATATCATAAATTTTTTCTTTATTTGTATATTAGACAAAGAGCCTGATCACGTGCTAAATTCTCAATCATCATAACGATAAATTTAATTGCACTAAAGGATCAAAATTTTATCAGAATAATCGTAGCTATTGCAACTATTCTCCTCAGCTGTCAACAATGAATTTAATGCATCGTTTCTATGATGAGAATAACAAATACAATTCTCAAAATGATATATAAACAATGATCATTGATAGATCGACGAACTTATCTGAAAGCTTAACAAACCTACAAAGTTTTTGAATAATTTTTTATTGTAACATAATAAAGCGATGATGGATGGGTTAAACAAAAGGATCTTTGACAAATGAAAATTTGAATACCAAGAATCTCTGAATAGAGTTTTAATTTTTTTTTTTTTTTTTTTTTTTAGCTTTCAAAATCTTGCCAAAAAAGATTGGTCTTTCAAAAGATATTTTAACTCTACGTGACATTTGTGCACATTGGTGGAGACTTTGAAACGTTTTCCATTTTATGTTTTATTTTATTTTTTTTTCTTTTATAACATTACAAATAAACTTGTGATATAGTGAGATGTCTGAGTACAGAGAAATTCGTGAATTTTCTATTTTTGACAAGAAGTTTATTCCCGGTGGTTTTGAGACACCTCTTACCAATTTATCTTTCTCTATTTCTACGATTAATTTAACCGACTTTTGTTTTACTGATAATCCCGTGTCACCCACTTCAAGTTCTTTATCTCAAGAAATTTACAATTTAACCGGTCCTCAATTTTGGCCAACATCCAAACCTGTAAAAAAAACCAAATTTTGGAAAAAAATATGGTCAAAGATTTCTAATTCATCAACATCAACAAATGGATTCTTTGTTATGAGATCAAAGAGACGCACATCAAATGTTAGTGAAAGTAGCATCCTTACTGCACGTTCGACCCAGGAATCCTCGAATCATGACCTCGGAACAAATGATAGTGGAGATCAAGCAACACCGACATCAATTTTACCTACTGAGGTAATTCCACCATGCAAGCAGGATTCAGCGGACACAACATTCAATAATATCGATAAAGCACTTATAATTCGTTCTCGTCATCATAGTATCTCATATCCTCTTCGTGATCTTAGACATCCAAATCCAACACCTGATGAACAAATTTCTTGTTTGATTCAATGCGTTAATTTTAAAGTTCATATTTATTCTCATTTATTACATTTCAAAACCACAAATTCACACTTCAAAATCCCAATACAAATCCCACGGGATATCTCGTTTAGTCAATTTCAAAAATCAATTGCTAAATTATTGAGATATCATTTGCAACATTCACCAACAAAAGAACCATCGATGATCATAAAAGATAAAATTTCAAAGGATTTGGTAGTTTTGTACCACACAAAAAAGATAAATGCGAATGATTTAACTGAATTATCAATGAAAAATTCTATTGAAACAAATGAAGAATCTGGTAACATCAAAAATGGTGACTATAAAGAGACAAAAGAAAATTTAAAGGATAATATTATCATACAAAAATTGATTAAATTAGATAAGTTAAGAGTCGTGGATTGTGATCAAGTTTGGAGAATATATATGTTATTTTGGAAAAATGGGATTGAAGTTAGTGTCGTTTCCAGAGATTTCGTTTGTTAAAATCAGGTCATTTTTTTTTAATTATTTAACATTAACAACTTTTTTAAAATTCTTCTCGCTTCATTTTATTAATGAGTGAGAATAATGTAATTATTATAACTGGTCTATACTGCATGTCGTCAGTGTTCGCGTGTTTATAGTTTTATTGTACATTTTATACAAATATATATATATATATTATCTGAACGTATATTTACATAACAATATGTTTTCAGCATCAGTGAACTATTTGATTTACTGCTGATTAATAATAAAAGTATCGATTAAACTTATCTGTGCATAAAATCTAAAACCTTTATCTAATCTTTTTTTTTACACATGAATAGTTTATAGTAATTTTTTTCTATTTTTTCGAATTATTAATTTTATTCTTGACGATTCCTTACTCAAGTTTGTTTATTATCTGCTAAAAGTTCACCATTATCTGAAAAACTTTTTCAACAGCACAAGATGAAATTGAAAATTTACTCAGTTCATGCATTTGATAATACTATATTTTTCAAGATTCATCCAAGTCTTCAAAATTAAATGTTTTTAAATTTGAATAGATACTCCGTTCTTGAATTAACAGAATAGGTGGACTCGCTAATTTGGGTATAATAAAATATCACGATTAGCCATAGTCATAGGAATAAACCGTGGATCAAAAAGCCTGAAAAAGAGGACGAATCGAATAATTCATAACATGAAAAGACAGTGATGAAAGCAACCACCCTAAAAAATTTCGCTATCGGGCCGAATTAAAATTCAAGTAGGTGTAACATAAAATCAAACCAAAAATATCTAAAATCTAACCCTAACACTGATAACGAAATTTTTTTAAGGTGGTGATGCTAGGGTCTTAGATAAAAGCCAAGGGAAATAACTAATGAATTGAGATCACTACCAAAATTAGTTTAGAAATTGACCGATTTGAAAAATACAAAAGGTAACCCGGATTTTTGTCCAGATCAACTTGATAAAATATACGAATGTTTATTGATATAAAAAGTCAAGTATTTCATCGGCTTCACAAGTGAATTTATAACATTGTCATATCCGAAGTGTTGCCCGCTTTGTTACAGCCTTATTTTTCTTGTGATTATTTAATTCGATATGTGAAATGATTGTTGATTGGATATCATAGAGTCAACACCATAGTGACAATTCGATACATACAAATTCATCGCCAAATCCTAATGCTTGGCTGTCATAAAATATTGTATATTTTGAAAAAAAAATAAATACTTGATATAAAATTTTGCATAACAGTCACATGTAAATTTTTGTATTATAGTCAAATGATCGACGTATCTAAAATTTCTTATATAAAATTTGCTTATCAGTTTTTGTTTAGTGGTAATTATTATTGTTCGTCATGGAACCTGTACCTTCTATCGAATGAACAATTTCCATGGCCAACAATACATCTGTCAATGTAGAACAGTATGGGATGGGGTCGCGAGCAAGCCACCTGACTGTCACGTGACCAGACTTAGTGAGTATCGTGCTTTCCTCTTTTTCATCTTTTTTTTTTTTTTTGGGTGAGGTGGGTGGGACACAATGTCGAGCAGAAAAATTCAAGAACAAGAATTCAAGTAGATCATCTAGTTACTCAAATACTCAACTTTGGACAAGGCAGGTCCCGTGACCTATTGTCACATGGAATCCAGTGACTCACAATAATACCCGCTTTGTGATTTCGTTCACAAGCGGATCATTATTATTGTTCGTCATGAAACCTGTATCTTCTATCGAATGAACAATTTCCATGATCAACAATACATCTGTCAATGTAGAACAGTATGGGATTGTTGATGAGGATCACTCAAGGTAAAAAAAAAAAACTCACGTCAACTCATCTTTTATCATTGCTGTTAAATATTGTTTTCTTTATTTACATAAGAATCAGTTTACGGAGGTTTCAGCTTTTAATAGTAAATACTGTTTTTTATAAGTTTGGTTTCTACCTATTAACTGTAAATACCATTACTATTTTAATCAATTAATTTGGTTTTTTTTTTTTTTTTTTTTTTGGTTCCTACTTCTAACAGCAGATACCATTCTATTTGGTTCCAACTTTAAAAAATAGTGAACACCATCCTTTTTATCTGCCTTTTTTTTTTTTTTTTTTTTTTTTTTTTTTAAAAAACCCATTTTTTTAGAGATTCCAGTCCTAGCAGTAGATACAGTTCTTAGGTATAGCATGACAGCTTTAAAGTCTTAATCTCCAATTGCTCAGATTTGAGTAAGGTTTATACCTGTAGTCATTGCTACCGTAGCTCCTCTAATTTGCAATGAATAAGCTGTAAATTTGTCATTCATGCCCACATGTTCAGCAAACCTTTTAACTACAGAGCCAATTGCTGAAACTGAAATCTTTTTCCTCTGTTTTAATAGGAATAATGGTGCCTCTGCAATTGTCTTAGGTCAGATTTCTAAGTATTGCTTCAATAGTCTGACTGGGCAGTATTCTGATCTTATATTTTCTACTGGAATAAACCTGTCATTTTTAAATTGGTCTGTCTTTGATTTACAGATCCAGACCTATAAGGTTCTATCATCTTGTCATTTTATATCCTTCAAAGTTAGATTCCCTAGTTCTCCTGGTCTTCGCATTGTACTTAACTTCAGGATTACTAAGGCTACATCTCTTTTGTACATTAATGCATTAGCCTTGGGAGGTGGTATGTCTACATAGTACTTTAGTGTTATTATTGGTAATGGATTACGTAGCTAATCTGGTGTTTTGTCCTTTAAAAACTCTTTTCTTACTGCTCTTAATACTTGTGTTATAGCTAAGGATTTCCTAAAATCCTCTTTACCTTCAAAACACAGGTTAGTTATGACAACTTGTAAGATTCTAGAGGTTTGCGATGCCAGACCAATTATGTTCAACCACATCATAAAGGTCAGAATACCCTCTTCAAGTGGGTTTCCTACATCAAGGTCAAACTTCTTACAAAATTCTTTATAGAAGTTCCAATACTTCTCAGATTTAGCTCTGTAGAAGGGTGACACTAAATTCTTTGCTAATTGTTTCACCCTTTCAGATAATTCTTTTATAGATGAATGTGCACTGCCAAAAATTTTCATCGTGGGTTTCTTCAAGGTTCTACAAGACCTGATGGGCTAGGCAGAAATGTGATTCTTGGATCTGGCAAGGCCAATGCCTTCCAATTTAGTTTTAGGAGTAGTGGTCACCATTCGGCTGATGACTATTCTGAAATTATAATCATGGTTTTTGCTTTGCAACTCTTTATATGGCAGAGAACCTTCTGTACCAGGTGTAAGGGGAGGCAAACATAATTGATTTCATTTTTCCACCTTTGGGTAAAACAGTTTATAGTTTCTGAACCTAGTCAAAAATGATAGCTGTTGAAGCTTTGCACTTTTGTATTCAGATATGAAGCTATTCGATCTATTGAATGTGGTCCAAACATGGCATCTATTTGTTAAAAGACCTTTTCTCTAATGTGCCAATCTGAGAAGTCGAAGACTCGGGTCCAAAAATCTGCTAGGTTTTGTGCTGAAGGCACCCATTCATCTTATAGATCCAAATGTCCTTTTTCAGACAAACTTGCTACAAGTTTCTGTAGGCTTCCTTTTGTCACCAACATTTTCCTTCAAAACTTATTGTCACTAGAGGCATATGACTGTCTATAAACACCAAGATCCAAAAACCTCTCAGCATATTTGCGAAACTCTGAAATCCAAGCAGAAGCACTTCTGCTTCTAATCTTGCAATTTCCTAAAAACTTACTCTTTCTGGCCAATTGCTGAATGCTGTTTGACCATTCAATTTTGCACACCATCCGGTTGTTGAGGCATCTACGAAAAGGCTCTTTATTAATGATAGTTTCCAGGCAGGGTGGCCATTGTATGTTTCCAAGTTTTTTAGCAACCAACGGACATCTATTTTTGCCTGCTCCAAAAGACTGATTTTTTCATCCTATTTTCAATTTTGGTAATTTGCTGCATCGATAAGAGAGTAAAACTCCAAACATTTTACTTGTGTTGGGGCAAAGGCCTTCGCTAGGCTCTGAACCTTGCCTATGACTCTTGCCAACTGTCTGGCTGTTACCTAATTTATTTCTAACAGTGCCTTCAAACAGGCTTTTGTTTCTTCTAGCTTTTGTTGAGATATAATCACTTGTGCCTTTTCTGTGTCTACAATCAGTCTATAAAACTTTATTTTTCTTGATGGTATTGGGTTGTTCTTGTCTCAGGCTAGAACAAAACTGCAATTTTTCAGGTTTGGTAAAATGATTTCATCTCAGATTTTTTTCAACATTGCTGCTAATAAATGGACTATCCATATATCGTCAACATGGAAGCCTAAAGCAATACTTTTTGATCTCCAATAGGTGATTAATGCCTGGATTATCTTCAAGAAAACCCAAACCATTTGAGAAAGGCCAAATAGCAAAACTTGGTACTGATACCAGGAATCTTCTACTTAAAACCTCAGAAAACGTTAGGTTTCTTCTTCTATCAGGACATGGTGATACCTATCTCTTAGGTCCAAAGTAATTATAGACCAACCTTTTCCAATTGATCTCAGTAAGCCTCCCAACTCTTCGAACCGAAATGATTTTTCTGGAAGCTGCTTGTTTAGTCTTCTTAAGTCTATTATCAGTTGAAAACATTTTGGGCCTGACTTTGTCACTAGGAAAATTGGAGATACCTCCAACAGAGAGGCTGAACAAAACAATCCTGATCCCACCTTTTTTATGACACCCAGTTTTTCTAACTGATGCAACTTCTTTTTTAGCCATACTTTTTGCTCTGACATTAACTTGTAAGGTTTTGGGTTTCCTTTTTCGACTAGACTCCATACATTTTTCAGAAATAAAGGTACTAGATTTCTTAGCCAGCAGGCTACTACTGGGGGTGGTTTTATTTTTTTTCATCCAATATTTCACAGCTGCTGGTTCATGTATTCTTCCAACAACTCCCTGTTTTGGTTTGTATTGATTATTATCATTATTCTGTTCTCCACTTTCCCCTGAGCGTAGTCACTTTCCATTGTTTCCTTTATTCTGAAAAAACCCATTTCCTAACAAATTACCTTCTGTTGATTTTGAAGAGCATATTGCTGCCATATGACCAGCACCTCCACAAAAGTAGCAGTTAAACTGCTTCGTTGTTTGCTTGTTATATGAGTTTTGGTAAGCTGGGCTTGGGTTTTGGACCACATTTTGACTCTGGTATTCTTGAAACATAGGTGGTGGATACTGGGCATAGTGCTGCGATGGTGCATATGATAATGGATAGAGTGTATAATAATTTCGTCTTAGACCAGGGGTCCAAGGGCTGCTCCTACTTTTCCAGATTCCTTTATCATAAGACATGGGGCATCCTTCAAATGGTTTAGCTTGTTTCCTTGCTTCAGTTAATAATTCTTTAAATTCATCCTTTTCACTAGACGTTGGTTTTGAAATCTTTGCTGCCACACTCCAACCTTCTTCTTCTGTGACTTTTAAAACAAATGCTCTTAACTTTAACAACTCATGTACCTCTGTCATCTTTTCCTTCAAATCTTTCTGAATAGCTTTTTGGAGCATAGTTTTAGCTTCGCAAACTGCATTATACTTATATTGGTTTCGTGGTTTTTTAAAAGTCTTTTTGGAAAAGCTAGATTCAGCAGCATCAGCCCAGCTTACTTTATTTAACTGTGCTGACCATTGTTGCAAACTATTATCCAGGACCTTTAACAGCAAATTTCCCAGCTTTTCCTCAAGTTTTTGCTCCAATCTATTTTTCATGTGAGACAAAAAAGCATAACTTTGATTGACTAGCTCATCTGGTGGGAGAGGTCTTTTATCATAGTCTTCACTCAGATCCCATTCCACAGCTTTACCTTTTTCCAGTTTTTGCAGGTTAAAATCCCTTTCTGGCTCTGTCTAAAGATCCTCCAAACGGGTAATTAGTTCTGCTTTAGTACCTTCTGTTGAGATGTTACACTTATTACATATGACTCGCAAGTTTATTAATTGTAAGCGATTCCAATCTATAGTTGGGACCTCTTGCGAATGTGGTGTTACTTCACTATCTATGGGTAAGTTTTGTGTTTCTTCTGTCAAACTCATTACTTTGCTATTACAATGAAAAAAAAAAACTGGCTTGCTTGCAACGGATGCTAGACATAATGTCGAGCAGAAAAATTCAAGAACAAGAATTCAAGTAGATCATCTAGTTACTCAAATACTCAACTTTGGACAAGGCAGGTTTCATGACCTATCATCATATGGAATCCAGTGACTCACAATAATACCTGCCTTGTAACTTCATTCACAAGCAGATCAGAAGTTATAGGTTCATTATGCAAATTCTAATGGTGATTAAAAATAAAGCTATAATTAATCAAAGCCTTAAAGTTCGCCTATTTTTTCATGATTTATATATTAATGATAACCAAAACAGTCAACAAAATTGACATACATAAATATAGGTCAGTCAGTTGTCATATATCTAATCACAAATCCATAATCAAATGAGATGCGTCACAATATTGCAGATTATAAATTTGTAAAAAAATAGGCGAGATTATTTGTTATATGATTTGTGCAATAAATTTAAAATTTACATAGCAAATAAAAATATGATATTACTAAAATTTTTTAAAAACATATCAAATTTTTATAAAATTTTATAAAATATATTATTTTAAAAAAACTATACTTGTATACATATATTATAAAAGTCTTAAAGGTAGAGAATATCACATGATGATCATTTGATTTTTTATTGGTGAATTTTTCTAGATAGCACAAGATGTTTCTAGATAGTACAATATAAATAACATATAAACACAATTGATTTACTATTATAAAATAATTTACCATATAATTACTATAAAAAGTAATTTGTGTATCCTCTATTCTTAATAATAAATCCAAATTCTTGGTAGTAGCATTTTAATTAGTTAATTATTATATAATTATCATATAACTTTTATAATAGATTTATAATATTTAATTTTTAAATAAATATATCTTAATAAATTTTAATTTAATTTAATAATTCTACTATTATTAGAATTATAAAAATCTGTTTTACAATTTTGTTTAAAAATTTAAAAGCAATTAAGCTAGTAAAAATATTTTAAATATTAAAATAAAAAAAATTACAATTAAAATTATATAACAAATAATCTAAATATATTCTATCTTTAAAAATTTTAATTAATTATATATATATTTATTTATTAATGTAATCTTTTTGAACTTTTGATTTTTATTAATATTTTTTTTTAATATTATGTTTTATAAGAAACTATTATAAAAAAAATATATAATTAATTATATTGTAATAAAAATTTTTTTTCTATATTATTATATATTTATTTTTAAATCTATATATATTTTATATTTTTCTTAATTTTTTACATAGTTTATAGATTATTTTATTAATTTTAATTATCTATTTAATAGGTTAATATTTATTTTATTAGTAAATTTCTTATAGTATTTTATTTTAGCTAATAATTATTAGAATATCTAAAAATATAGTTGTTTAGTATTACAAAGGTTCTGACCAAAAATCTCAGATCATGTTTCAGATGCCTCAGATATCTCAAAATACTCTAAAATAATAGAACAATTAATTTAATTATAATTAATTAATATTTATTAATTATAATATAATATTTACTATAATGTTATTATATAGTTTTTATGTACTACTATAGTTATTTTTAGTTATACTTAGAACAGCATCTGTAGAAGGCTTCTAAATACTAAATGATCATAGAAAGTTTTGTAAATGAACATATGGACTACACAATTATATTTGTTTTATTTTTAGTTAATATGTAAGTTATTGCATAATGAAATACTAAGTATTAGTAAAAATAGAAAGATACAGTATTGGTTTATCATTTGTGCACAAGTATTATTAGTAAAATGCATATGAAATTCCTTAATTTCTACTATATTTTAGACATTCATATGGTCCAGGATGATGCTACAATATATAGTAGCTCTAAAACTAATCAATTATTAAAAAAAAGCTATAAAAAGAATAGTTTTTTGCTCTTCTAAAAAAACAGTTCTTGAAAGTCTTGAAATTTACTTCTTTTTATATATATAAAAAGTTTTTTGTAATAATTATTTAACCAAAAACTCTTTAATAAAATAATTTTTAATTATTATTCTTTGAATATTATTCATAAAAACTATTTTTTGTTTTATTCTTTATTTTATTTTTTTTTATATTTTATTTTTATTTTTTTTATTTTATTTTATTGTTTTTTATAATAATATTAAATAAAAAATTAGTTTTCTTAATTAGTTATTTGGCAAATACTAGCTTTATATTATTCTTTTATTTTATTTTTTTTCCTATAATAATATAAAGTAAATAGCTAGTTTTCTTAATTAGTTATTTGGCAAATACTAGCTTTATATTATTAAAATTTAAAGGTCATATATAACTGTTAATGGTCTGATTATTAAGGTTTTTTTTCTTCTGATTATATTCTATAGACATTTCTAAGTTTTAAAATCTAATAATCCTTATACAGAGTAAACATTTTGTTATATCTAATCTGCACAGATTAAACAATAGAATTAGTTTAAAAGCTGATTCTATTATTGTACTTTATAGTATTTAGAAGATTATTAAATTTAAATTTTACTTTTAAATATTTATTTCTTATTTATTTCTTATTTTTTTATTTATTTTATTTTTCTTTAAATAAAAGATCTTCTACTTGGCATTCATATATTTAAAATTATTACAGTTTGTTAGTTTTTAGTAAATTTTATTATAATATAGAGAATATTAATAAAAACTAAACAAATTGTTTTTAGTATATTTTTTAAAATTTTAAATTAAAATATCTTAACAACTATTAAACCAAACTTGATAATTTTTATTTATTTTAATTTTATAACTATATAAAATTAAAATAATAAAAAATTTGTTAAGTTTGGTTTAATAGTTATTAAAATATTTTAATTTAAAATTTTAAAAAATCTACTAAAAACAATTTATTTAGTTTCTATTAGCATCTTTATATATATAACTTTTTTATATTATCTATTTAAAAAGTTCACTTAAAGATTTTTTACTAATTATTATACTTAACACTTTTGCTTAGATATTTTATTTTAAAATTTCTGAATCTGCAATCTATATTAATATTTCTATATTATATTTAAATCTTTATTTTAATATTAAAATTATTTTATTCTTAAATAAAGCTTCTGAAACCTTCTGTATATATTTTTATAACTAACCTAGTATTATTATAACAAAACTAATATTTGTAATCAAAACTAATTATTAAATTACTATACTTTTATAGAATTCACTTAAACTTTAGTATTACTTTATAATATATTTAAAATACTTTAATATACTCTGCATTATTATTAAAATCTCAATTTAATTAGTTTAATAAAACTATAATTAGTCTATTAGTATATTAGATATCTGATCCTAACTGATCAATGAAATGCTATTGTTATAATATTGCTTACTTTTTATAATACTAATATAACATAAGTAGTTTTTCAAATTTTTCATTGGTGTAGATCAACCTAATATTTTTTTCTTCTAATTCATTTGGATAACCTAATTAATAATACTCTTTATTTAGAGATTCTTACTTATTTGGTTTTTTTATATTGGTATTTGTTTCATAAGACTAGTTTTTACAGTAGTCTTATCAAAGATCTATATTACTTTTTTGCTTAAATCTTTTAAATAAACTTCTTGTTTTTCAATTTTAATAGATTTATACAATTATAAGAACTTATCTAAAGTTTGTATTGCATGATACTAGTTTGTATTTCTTTGTATAATCAGTTATACAGATGTTTTATAACTTGTTAGTAAAGCTAATACAATTATTATTACAAATATCTTAATTTAATTATTAAAAACAGTTGTTTTTTTTTGTTAAAGGCTATACTTGTAATGATACTTTATTAATTTACATTAAGTTAGCTATTACAACTATTTTTACAGAAATGAGAGTACAGCTAGTCACACATACAACTTTTGATTGCCTATTTAAGTAGTCTGCCCTAAGGTCTAGACTAGATGCCATATCTATAACTTACTAGAAAATTATTCATTTAAACTCTCTGATCATCTGCTCTGTTATATTGGAATCTTCAACTTACCTTTTGTATATATCTAACTGATATACTATTTGAGCAGTATGGTTACCTACCCTTTTTGTACTAGTTCTCAAACTGTTATACATTTCAGAGTACATTACCTGTCAGTAAAATGCAAGAAGCCCTTCATTGTTAACTATTTTCTACTTTTAGAACACTAATACAGGCTACCCTTACAGAATTCACCCAGACCTCAGTACTGACTTCATAGCATATCTCTAGTACTTTTAGTATACCTCTGCTTTGAACTTAGACTCCCAATCCAAATAGCCTAAAAAGACTGTGACCTGTTCTTAGTATATTAAGGCCAGCCCAATATCCTTTTCCTCTGATCCAAAATCTGATAGCCTGGATGGTGGTACCCTCATCTAAGGTTCTTGTCTGCCCAAATCCTCTACATTGGTATTCATTTTTTAGGTTTAGCCTTTATAGTAGTACTGTCAAAGATTCATATTATCTCTCTGCTCAGAATTTTCAAGTAGGCTTTGGCTTTCTAGTTCTATAGATTTACATGACCTGAAGACTTATTTTAGGTTTGCACTATCTGGTACCAGTTTGTATTTCTCTGTGTAACAGATTACACAGATGCCCTGAATCTGCTAGTCATGCTAATGTAACCATAGTTACAGATATCCTATCTCAACTGATCAACAGAATGCTATTACCATAATACTATCTATAAATTATATAGGTGATTATCCAAATTTTGCCATCAGTGAGTTTTGAACTTACAACCTACTACTTGGGGGTATGACAACTTATTCACTTCACTAAGTTGCCATATCATTTTAAAAACAGTTATTATAATACAAAGATTACATAAATAATTATTTAAATTTTTATTATTAATAAGTTTTAAATATCTAATTTCTACTTAAAAATTAACAACTTATTTATTTTACTAAGTTGTTATTCTTCTATTAATTATAATTTTATTTTTAATTACTATTAAAATTTTA